AGTTATACGATACGCCACGCGATTCGCGCGACGGATGACAGAAATCGGGGTGACCCGATCAATACTGCGTGGTGCTCTCCAATCCCGCCGCCATTTCTGCTTGATGATGACTGAATGACGACTTTTTATAACTTCTTATGATAATTCATTTGGTTATATTTTTAAATGTTTTAATGGGGTACTTGCAATTTTTGCGATCGTGCGATGGATCGTGGACTTTGACACCAGCCTAAGAAGCGGCGGTTGTCAAGCGCTTTGAAATTCTGACTGCTAAAGTTCAACCTCGTCCAAAAGGGACCTTCCAGGATTTTAGTGAGCTGAGCACTGGAAACCTCTACGTGCACCTCTACGTCACATTCAACGCGGAAGTCACCCGTTCACTACTTGATTGGAACCCCTTTACTAAAAAAAAAAACAAGCCAAAGTGGTTGGAACCAATTTACTATGAAAAAAAAGCCAACTCTACTTTTTCATAACACTGTCGAGATACCTATTGCAAAAAACATCCAGGAAAATTTTGGGAGCCTACGACGGAGAAGTCTTCTATGACAGCCTTATAGCCCTGACCTTGCAAAAGGATGCCCACCTGCTTCTCTCTCGAAACCACTTTCCTAGAGAAAAACCACCTAACCATTATGATGTCAAATCGAAACTCAATCTTTTTTCGATCACAAGTGGACGAATTCTACAAAAGAGGCATCGAACTGCTCTCTATGCGTTGACAGTATGTTGTAGATAATGATTGTTGTATTTTGCTGGTGTGTATTATGTTGGATGAATGAAGCAAAGAAAAAATGGAACCAAAATTCAACCAGTTTTTGCGGAAATTATGGAACAACCAACCTTATACTATGTATTCACCGATCAGTTCGGTTGCAATTTGAAAATAACTGTTAACATAAAAAGACATCGTATAATTTTAGGTTATTTTCTTTAATCTATGAATTTTCTTGCTTGCTGTCAGCTAGCGTACTGATAGAGCTTCTGACAAAAAAGCATCTGAATACAATCCCATTCACGATACTTCACTAGGTACAACCTTTGACTTGACAGTGAAAATTAGCTTCCCAGTCTCCCAGAACTTTCTACTTTGACACAGATGTGCTTTTTTCTACGTCCAGTGAAATCAGTCAGCCGGGGGTTGAGATCATCAAACTCTCAACAGTTTCGGCATTACATTTCAATCCTCATGGTGTGACTGTTGAAGGGAACGTGTTACAACACTGGTCCCTCAATTAAAAGGGCGCTGTTTTACGCAGCAGAAACGAGAAAATCCGTTTGGTTGAACCTTGGTAAAATTGTTTTGAGCGCAGCTCAATTTTTAACTGATTGTCTATTAGTGAGGTCTCACATAATTAATGGAAAACTAGTCTAAAAGCTCACGATGATGTTATAAAATAGAAAATTCAGACTTACTTGAATCAAACGATCCCGCTGAGCAATTTCAGCCTTCAAATTGTTCTGCGTAGCTGTCATCGCTTCAATCGTCCGTTTTAAAAGTTTGACTTCCTAGAGTACCAAGCATTCAATGTAGTAAAAGATATCTCAGAAAATGACATTCAACCACCCGAACGTTTACCTGTGAGATCGTCGTACTTGCCTATTAAGAGCTGGTTGCATATGAGGAACTTCCTTCTCTCTTTAATTCGTCATTTAGGCAGATCCCCTAAACTGTTGATGTGAAAAAACGGTCAATTATTCGGAGCACAATGAAAAACGCGAAACACTTAAAGCTCTTGCTCATATTTAACACGCAGATTTTTCGTTTGTCTCATTGCTGACGAGTAGAGGAATCATGCTCGAAAATGCATGACCGATAAATTCCTCCAAATTGCCATAACTTTACCTGACAAAAACTCACGAATTTTCTGCACAATCACTGACATCTAAAATTTAACCTTTACGAGTAATAGAACAGTAAACCGCTGACAGTCAACCTCTTGCTACTTAAGATAGGGTAGACAATTCACGGTGTAATAATCAATCTCCCGTGCTTGATGGTCAACTAGCAGCCACAACTCTCAACCTACGGTATGTTTAACTCATCACAAGACAAACTGAGAAAGGTCTAGGACACCATTACTCCAAGACATTCCAAAACTGGACTACGGACGTCTGTCTGTGAGCAATCCATCGCATCCACGCGATCTTAACCTACGACGTGATGTGAACTATATGTGATTTATAATGCCTAATTCACTGGCTCGAGGGAACGATGGTAGGAGTAAAAGTAACTTTCTTATACGATTTACATTTATCACGATTCAAGATATCTTATTCTATAAGATAATATATACAAACCAAACAAGTCAAAACTTTCTATAAATTTCAACTCCAGCATGAAGCCTTTTACCACGCGCATCGACAATGCATAGTGTTCCTGACAAATTTTCCCCATGTTGTGATCACCACTCTAGTAGGAAAAGGACACAGTTATTAATCACAATGAATTAATCGCACATCTTTTCGAACGGTAAAGAGACCTTCTCAAACTATTCACGCTTGTTTCTTCTCCCACACGTCACAATTTCCCTCGTTCCACTTAACTACGATACAGAGCCTGTGTGTATAGTCTCGGTCTAGAACCATTGGTAAATACAAAATTCCGCAAAGCAGGAGAGGCACTTTGATTTTTAAGGTATCTCATGGCTACTCGTGCTTCCAGTAAAAAATTTCCAAAATCACGTTCCCTGCTCTAAGAAGAGAAAATGTCAGGACATAAAGGAGAGAGTATGCAAAAGGATTACATGGGAAAACTTTTAGGAATGTAATCAATCACAGAAATTCCCGATTCAAGATGTCGTCAATTCCAACGCTCCTCTTTTAGAAAGTCGCTGCATTAGTTAGCGAGAAATGTAGATGTTTTACGTATTTATCCCGGCGAGGAAACCCTGTCCTCTACGCAGACTCATGTAAGCTGCTCCCAATTTCAATCAACATAAAAATTCAACACATTGCACTGGAGAAGAGCAAAGTCTATTTGCATCATTTGTTATTACTTTTTCCCTACATCTACAATTGGAAAACTCATAGAACTTCAATACGCATTCAAACACGTGCGTCATCACTCTATTCAGAAATACCAAAAAAGCAATAACGCGAATAGGCGGATAAAAACTCAAACATTTTTTCTTTGGCATTTAAACAGTAAGTGTATGTGAAATCTAAAGCGGTTCTCAAAATTCTGCATCGAATCCAACCCATGGAAAAGAACACAGTGTGATAGCCTGTTATAAGATAACAGAAGCCACTTCACGATTCCCATTTCGGGAGAGTAACGAGTAAATTCATTTTAATCCTTGAGTAAAACGAATCCAAGAATGTGAAGTCAGTAGCAAATATGGGCACACTTTTGCTAAAAGAACGACCTATAACTGTCTCTTGCATCGAACAGAGTAAGCCATGGCGGAGAAATCGGCCAAGTAAGTACAACACGATCACCGTCCCCCCCCTCTCCTAGCCGCAGCGCCTCTATGCAGCTCATCCACGTGCACGCAAGACTTCCTCGCTTATCGAAACCTCAACTATCAGCTCCCTCTTCGAAATCACCGTCTGCTTGGTTCAAATTTTGTTTTGGAGTTCAGGGCTATAACGGTTCAGAGTGGAAGGCACGTTGGCAATACTGTCTATTTGTAGCTACGTCCCTTACACTTATTACACATTCGGTATACAGGGGTGGCC